GGTTTAACATAAACAGGATCCGTATTTGGTTTTAAATGAATTTGTTGCTCGTATATATTCGTTACAGATAATTTATCCCCGGGTAGGTAAAATATATCAGGAAATTTTGCACACAGACTTTCAATCGACAATCTTTCTTCGTCATTTAGATGATTTAAATGTAGCATGGAAAATAATCTTTTCACTCTTTCAGAATTTCTCTCACATTTTTCAAACGCACATATATCGAAATTTTCCACGCTATGTATAATCGGTATAATATCTTTTAAAGTTAAGTCTTTTTCCGTACTATTTAATATCTTAACAGGGATTTTCCCATCACGCGACGTCACTATTGAATCGCTAAAAAGACTCCATCACACAACTCTTTTGAATAAACTACACCGTCTCCTTTAAAATTAGTATTGATAAAATGAATAGATTCCGATCTCGACGGAATGAATAAACAATCATCATAATTATGTCGCAAAGTCGAAAGATATATTCTTTCATTATTTATGTTTAATAATGATAACGTACTCGTCTCGTAATTCAATATAGCAGAGTTGTTATTTAAAAAGTCACTACCAATAATACCACTTTCCCTACAAGGTAAGGTATGGAATACATAGAACTTGTGACTAAATGTATTGCCTTTCGCTTGTAAATCTAAACAAACGTGTCCAATAGCTTCTATATTACCGCCAATACCTCTAATAACAGTCTTCTCTATGTGGAAAGGAATGTTGTGAGCATGAATATGTTTATGTTCTATGGCTGAAATTGATGCGCCCGTATCAAGTAACCAATCCAGAGTACATGCATCGCTAATGTTGAGTTTAATTGAAAGTGAATTATGATCACAAGTAAAAAGAAAATCTTTAGGTACGAGAAAACTTGTTTTCGTTTACCACGTTATCTACTGTTTGGGATTGGGGTTGTCTTTTTGTCAAAACATTCAAATGTTGGGTATGCATCCTTTGTTTGCCAAAATTGCTATTACGATAGTATTTACCTCTAAATGAAGGCCTCGACCTCGAATCACCCCGGGGTCCACGATGTCCTTGACTCCATTTACGAGCAGAACCAGCTGCATGTGCACCATGCGAGTAATAACTCGAGTTACCTCTTTGATTTGGCGTACATCTACCGCGATAGTTCTGGTTGAAGTTAAAACGCCCACGACCTTGTCTGTAATTAAAATTATTATTACGACTCATTGACAAAATACCGTTTGTCGTGGAAGGTGTAGCCACCTCCTCGTCTATGGCGGCCTGTATGGCGTTCTTCAAGGACTCAAAATTGCGAGCTGCAATGATAGTGCTAATCCTTCGATTACGTAAGCCATCCGCAAAGCGAGCGCTTTATAGCTTACTGCTCGTTTACAGACTTCAGAACACTATAGTTATTGTCATTTCCATTAGCTTGCGTAATTGTAAGATCATCGAATAATTCGGTCATTTTTTGGCCATAATCGTTGATAGACAAATCGTTTTGTCTAAAAGATTGTAACTTTGTTTGCATGGCGGAAGCGGATTTTTTAGGTAATAAATGCTTTCGCATATCTTGTAAAAAATCATCTATTGTGGGATAGGTAAACAAACATAATTTTGCTGAGTGATTTAACCGACTTTTTAATACAAAGTTAATGAGATCAATTCGTGATTCATTTGTAAGAGTAGTGCTATAATCCTCGATGCCATCGATCAATTTCTCAGTAGTAGTCATTTTACCATCCATAACAGGCAATAGGCTTAACGCAAGCTTCAAGTTAAATTCCATGGTTACAGTTTTGATAATAGGGCACTCACTACAAAATTCTATTATTTTAGAATATATGTTTTTAAACTTTGAACAATATTCATTTATTAAGACACACTCGTCTTTTGAAATTCTGCCTAAATTAATAGATTAATTAATATTTTTGAAGCTTTCACTATACTTAGTATTTATTAAATTGGCCTCACCAAGCTTTTTTACGAGTACATCACCTTTTCTACGAGATAGTCCGATTTTCACCAAGTATGTTTTTTATATTTAATAATTCATCAAGCAACTCTTTTAATAAATCGGCCATAACATAGTAATCATATGCATAAGAATAGAAGAAATTAGTATTAAATTATAAAAAGATTACACATTTTTTTTACTTGGGTACTTAGGTAGCGTATATTATATACGCTACCTAAGTACCCAAGTAAAAAAAAAAAAAGTATAAGCTCTAAAAAAAAAAAAAACAAAGTAAATTAAGATTAAAACGTGTCCTGTGTCTGATTTTACCCGATTTATATAACTATTGTCACTTTCCGCACATTAATAACACTAACACATTTCTTTTTTTCTTAATTACGAGTATTATTACTTTTTTATTTTTATGCACTTTGACACTTTTTCTTACCGCACATTTGTATTAATAGACGTAATTCGTACTGCTTTACAATGCTCAACATTATGCGGTTTCTTCTTTAAAACCCCTGCGAGCCTCTCGCCGGAATAAGGACAGCTGTCTTTGCAACGACCTATGGTCTATTTCTTGCCTCATCCAGTCTAAATGGCATATGCAATAGATCTTGTAAATGCCAAAAAGTGCAGCACAGCACAGCAACGTTGTCATCAAAATTATCAAAATATTTGTGATGCTTAGATGGTACCCAATATTGTTTGTGCCCGCTCCAGCAGCGTTCTGCGCAAGGACGACCTCATCTTTAGACTGGCTACCACCCATTTTGACCTTGTATATTTGCCGAAATTTCGTAAACGATGTAAGAAACCGGTCTTAGATACCGCACAAAATGTTCTGCCATCGCGACAAATAGAAATTCGAGTACTCTGTATCTTAACGGACCACACAGGACGCGCGCACGCGCCTTTTATGGCAGGGTCGCCATGTGACGTTGGGAGTCTATGTAAATAATACTCAGTTGAATGTGAATGCAAGACTGACAAAAATCGAATCAATACATTGTTTAATAGTTTCTCTTATATCTATCTTACATCTACTACATCACACAGTCTTAGCAGACTGGAAATCATTATGGTTGTCGGAACTATTACAGGACATCTAGCTCTGAACCGACAACTATTCATCATCAATGCGACGGACAGTCCCCTGTGCAGGGGATGTCTGGAAGCTGAAGAAACGGCCGTCCACGTAATCCTGGAATGCGAGGGAGTGGCCACACAACGGGCAAGTATCATTCCCGATATAAAGTCGCTCCTAGAAGCCTGTGAACGCCCCAGGAGGCTTCTGCGCTTCTGGAAGGAGCTTGGCTGGCTCACTTAGTCAACCAACCCTCGACGCATAAAGGACCACTCTGAGTGTAAATGCGGAAACCGAAGCCCACAACCAATATCGATACCAAAAAAAGCACCGTTGCTGTTCAAGTTAAAAAATAAACCTGGAGACTAAAATACCTCCTTATCTAGGATAACATCGTAAGGCAACATAATGTGACTCAACCGTAACAAAAGCTATTTTAGTATAGAACCCATCAGATTCTAAATAGGTAGTCATTTTACAAAGTGAAAAACATGGTACAAACCCAATGCTCATCATAAGGCATGTAAACAAGATGTGCTTTCTTCTGGTTAACTGTGAGCAATTTTCCTTTTTAGTTAAAAAAAACTCCGCACCACTATCGATAAACACTATTAAGGTATACTATCTTATACGCAATTCAATAAAAAAAACTTCAGAGAGTAAGCAAATACTTACAGATATTGTTTGCGTCTTAGGGTATTTTAAACGTTCAAATTTTTCATTGCGTTGCTGAATACCGGAGATACACTGTTAACCACAAAGTATTGACACTAGGCTCAGTGCTGCCATCCGAATAAATGAGAAAATCATTCATTCTCCGACATATATAATAGAAATAAGCGAACATAGGCATGTATCGTGTTTTTATAGGTTCGCACTGCGTAGTGTATTCGTAGAGTAGGGTACATCTTATAATATGTATATTAGAAATAAGTAAATTTCTCTAAAAATACCCGGAACTGTATAGTAAACGAATAGAGAAAGAAACAAACTTTTCCTTTAGACACAAAAAAAGATTAAATCTACACCCTTCTAGACGAGACTAAATTTAATAATTTTGTTAATAAATTTAAGTTATTCCTAATAAGCAAGTGTTTCTACAGCGTAGAAGAGTATTTGGAAAATAAATAAAATACTCTAAAATAATAAATTCTTTAATTGTTATAACCAGATTAGACAAAATAAAAAATTTAGAAGTCCTCTTTTCTTCCATTTTCTAATAAGATAATATATTTATGACTACTAAAATAATTATAATTAATCAATCAAATAATTAAAATAACAACTAAATAATAATTTAAAAAATAATAATTAAATAATAAATAACGGAGAATGTTTGTTCTTTTATACACTATTAAATCAATTTTAAAATTATGAACAAATATAAGTAACAATATTGATTATAATTAATAATATAATAATACATGACATGTATAGTTACCATGATTTTATCCTACTATATTAATTAGAAACAAAATATTCTACTGTATATGTGGTTGTGTTATCTTCCTCTCTCCCAAACAAACTCTGCTGTGCCCGACAGGGTCCATAGTTGCTGCCGCTTGAATTGTTGTTACCTATGTATTCACATTATGGAAGCAATAAAGTATTGAGTATTGAGCTTGGTGAGGCCAATTTAACCCTAGAAAGATAACGTGCGCCTCGGAGGCGCTCGCGAATCGGATATATTGCTGTCTTTTTTCATCCAATGCGTGTACAAGGTTGGTTTTTCAAGCCAACTCAGTCGTCGATCAACACTGCCGAATTACGACCGCTGCTGTTCGGTAAGTACCATAGTTTCGTTGCTATGACGACGCGTAGCGCTCGAGAAGCGCGTGTTTATCTTCTGTGTAACTTTTATCCATTTCTATGTGATTTAGTTTTTGTTACTTTTTATTTATTTCTACATAAATAAAGTATATATAGAATTAGATTATTGTTACTAATTAGTTTAAATTGTTTTTAGGAACATATTTACATCATGGCGAGCAGAAGAGTATTGAAAGAAAGAGAAATTATTTCCTTTTTGACACAAGAAGATGAAATCCCAGATGATGGGAGTGACAGCGAAATGGAGGATCATGTAAGTGAAGACGATATTCAAAGTGATACTGATGACGAGTACATAGATGATGTCATTGATGAAAGCTTGAAAACCTTAACACCTCCTGATGACACCTCAACATCTCTCAATGAAACCTCAACATCTGATGACACCTCAACACCTTCTGAAAATACTATACATGAACACCGCATAGTTATTCCGCCTCATAGAGTAATTAGAGGTAAGAACAATCACGTTTGGTCTATGTCTAAAGGTCAAAGTAGTAGAAGAACATCTGCAATCAATATAGTTCGTTGTAGTAGAGGTCCTAGTCGTATGTGTCGAAATATTTTTGAACCACTTTTATGCTTTGAATTATTTATTACGGATGAAATCATTCAAGAGCTTGTTCAGTGGACAAATGTGGAGATGTTGAAAAAGCGCACTGATAGTATGACTAGTGCTACATTTGCAGACACGAATCCTACTGAGATTAAAGCCGTCATTGGAATACTTACTCTCAGTGCTGCAATGAAAGATAATCATTTATCAACCGTTGAGTTGTTTGACAGTTCATTTACGGGCTCGAGATATGGAGCAGTTATGAGCAGAGACCGATTTGATTTCATTGTTAGGTGTCTTAGAATGGATGACAAGACTCTACGTCCTGCTCGTCGCCAACAAGATCCGTTTATACCAGTTCGAAAGGTTTGGGATCTGTTTATAGCCCAATGCAAAATGAATTACTCTCCTGGAAGTAATGTCACTATTGATGAACAATTACTGGGGTTCCGCGGTAGATGCCCGTTTCGAATGTATATACCTAATAAACCAAAAAAGTATGGTATAAAAATTCCAATGATGAATGATAGTGGAACCAATTATATGATAAATGCGATGCCGTACATTGGAAAAGCTACAAATACAAACGGTTTACCACAAGGCGAATATTACTTGAAAGAGCTATCACGGCCAATTCATGGTACTAACCGCAATATAACGTGTGACAATTGGTTCACGTCTATTCCTGTCTCGAAATCATTACTTGCTGAACCATATAAATTGACAATTGTGGGCACGGTACGGTCAAACAAAAGGGAAATTCCCGAAGAACTGAAAAACACCCGTTCTCGACCAGTGGGTACGTCTATGTTTCGATGGACCTTTGTTGAGACATCTCAACACAGACGCGGCGGCGGGGCCAGAGCGAGATGGACACATCGGACATCGCGCACCGCCCGCGCTGCGAGCCTGCGCGGCTTCTTTATATACTTGCCTTCAACGACCACATCAAGACGCACATAATATTTGTTACCACATAAATTAGTAAATCATTTTATACAGTCCACTTTCTTTTCTTGTCTTTTACTATCTACTGAGTTATCGCGCAAACATTTTGGTCCTTCTCCCGTCAAATTGGATCGAAGCGAAGAAATAATTGAAACATCAACGATCGTTGCCGGATCCATCTGGATTTTCTCCGTTCGTGCATGAAACTTCCACCAGGTCTTCAGAGTGTCGTCGTGCTTTGAGATCGCTCAAGCATCTCCACGCCGCAGTCATCACCAGTGGTTTGCACCGAAAAACCGTGAGATCGTTCCATTTCCTTTTTTTTAGTCATCACATCATTTCATATCCATCCTATCATTAAAATCATTCCATAAGCTTAATCCTTATCATTTAATTGTTACATTCAAGTATTTAATCATCATTTTGTGCATATCATTTCATTCGCAAGTCATTTATATCAAGCCACCTTCATTATTTAATTTTTTGATTGTGTGCGTCTTTTCATAATTTAATTATAATCATTTATTTTGTTAATCGTCATATTTTGTTACTTTTTTGTTTTCTGTTATAATAAATTGCATAGTTTTAACCATTTGCAAGTTTATGTTAGCAAAAGTAAAAGCACAAACCGCCTAACAAATTATAATGTTAGACATTATCTAACACTAGGTTGCTCTAATTTTAATGTGCAATTTGCTGTTGATTTTCTAACAGGAACTTTCTGCTTAACATATACCTTCCTTTTTTTTTGGGTAATTCCTTGCCTTTCTGTTCATTCCTTTCATTTCTGTACGCTTATCTTCAAGATGGCTGAGATGAAAAGCTGTATTAAAAAGCGAGCATCGCTTAAGGCTAAGCTAACGCAATTTTCTTCATATTTAAAAACAGCTCAAACTTGTGAGAAATTAAGGGAAGTCCAAATTGTTGAAATCGAATATCGCCTTAATACTTTTGAAAGCTTATATGAGAAATACGACATTTTACAGACTGACTTGGAGGCGTTGGTGGATGACTCCAGTGAGCAATATGCGGAGCGTGAAGAATTTGAAAAGCAGTACTACGCTTTGGTGGCAACTGCACGTCAGCTGATCAGCGTAGCCCGCAAGCGTATGACGGAGGATCACGCGTCTGAGGTGACATCTTGTACGTCTCAAACGCACAAACACAATTCAGTTCGTTTGCCCAAAATCGATTTACCTAAGTTCTCTGGCAACTATCATGATTGTCTAGAATTTAGGGACACTTTTATTTCTATTATACATAAAAATGAAGGCATAGATAAATTCAATAAACTGCATTATCTTCGTGCTTCCTTAAAGGGTAGCGCTTATTTAGTCATCGACAATCTTGGTTTTAGGTCAGATAATTACGATACGGCTTGGAACTTGCTCTGTAATAGATATGATAACAAAAGACTACTTGTTAATAATCATGTCCAAGCATTGTTTAGTGTGCAGCCCATTAACAAAGAGTCAAGTATATTATTACGTCACATAGTTGATACCACTAACAAAAACTTAAGAGCCTTGTCTACTCTCGGTCAGCCTGTTCAGCACTGGGACACACTCATCATTTACATCATGACCAGTAGGTTGGATCAGGTGACGAATCGTGGGCGGGGCCAGTGTTCCTACGAGGCGGCTGTACGCGGGGGTTGTCCGGTCCATGGCGCTTTATGGTGCACCGGTGTGGGTGGCGGCTCTGACCGCCCCGAATAGGGCGCGCCTCTGGCGCCCCCAGAGGATATTGGCGGTCAGAGCCATACGCGGATACCACACGGTGTCCACCGAGGCGGCTTGCGCCTTGGCCGGAACACCCCCGTGGGATTTGGAGGCGGAAGTGCTCGCCGAAGTTTATCGGCGAGTGGCTGACTTCCGAGCGGAGAGCGGATTTCGCCCTCCGCCCGAAGACGTGCGCGAGTGGCGCGAAGCCGCTCGCCGAGCCACCATGGTGAGATGGTCGTTCCGGCTGGAGACTCCACGCGCTGGCTTTGCCGCCGTGGAGACTCTCCAGCCGGTCATCGCCGAGTGGGCAGGGCGGCAGCACGGGACCCTTTCCTTCCGGCTGACGCAGGTGCTTTCCGGGCACGGTTGCTTCGGAAAGTACCTGTACTCGGTCGCTAGGAGGGAATCGAGTCCCGCCTGCCACCACTGCGACTGCAGTGAGGATTCGGCCCAGCACACGCTGGCGGTTTGCCCCGCATGGGCGACGCAGCGCCGGGCCCTCACTGCAGTCATCGGAGCAGATCTCTCGCTACCGGGCCGTAATTCGCTCCATGGCCGGTAGCGACAGTTGTTTTACCGCGGTCGCAACCTTCTGCGAGGAGGTAATCTCGCAGAAGGAGGCGGCGGAGAAGGCCCGGGAGGACGACCTCCACTCGGACCTGATCCGCCGCCGGCGAACCGGGCGGCGGAGGCGCGCTCACCTGCGCCTCATGCCGCCCTGAGTGTGGCCGCGGGTGGACGGGATGGGTTCTCCCCTCCACCCGCATTAGTTGGCCAGCCGCGAGGGGGCGGCGTCCGCGTGTGCCGGACGTCGCCTAAAGAGAGGGTCCACTGAGACGGAGCCCGCGCCAGGAGCGGGCCGGTGCTGGGAGGGGTCCAGAAGGAGATAGCTACCTGGACCCTTCCTAAACTGAAAGCGCAAAGAGGGCACACCGTGTGGTTTTAGTCGGTTCGAGTCCGACACAACCCCGCCGAACGAGAGCCGCGGCGGGGTGACGGTCCGAGGGGATTTCCACACGTAAAAAAAAAAAAAAAAAAAGGTGACGAATCGTGAGTGGGAAGAGCATCGAAACTCCTTACATGAACCGCCAACATCAGATGTCTTTATCAGGTTCGTCAGTAACAGAGCTGACCTACTAGAGACGCTTGAGGAATCTAGGTCCTCAAAATTGAGGAATGACATAAGTTTGAGCACCAAACCTAAGATTTTTTCAGTTTCCACTGAAAATAATATAAAATCATTATCGTGCCCAATGTGTCAACAGGAACATTTTCTTTTTCAGTGTGAAAAGTTTAAAAATTCGCCGGTTCAAGCCCGCATTAAAAAGGCTCAAACTTCAAATTTGTGTCTAAATTGCTTACGACCAGGTCACGATGTTCACAGATGCAAACTGGCTCATTGCAAATACTGCCGTGAAAAACATAATACGCTGTTACATGTTGAGAATGACCCTTCCTTTAAATCTAATCAGGCCATTGCTTTGTCTGCTAATCAAAACAGTTCATCTCGTGTTGTTTTACTCTCCACAGCACTCGTGAAGGTGTCGGACGCCGAAGGTAACCTTCACACTGCTCGAGTCCTGTTGGACAATGGGAGTACAGCAAACTTTATAACTGAGGACTTCATCCGTAAGCTAAACCTTCCTATTTACTCTGTGTTGTCCAAGGTACAGGGCATTAACAATCAATCTTCCGAATGTTCACACGGATGTTCAATATCATTAAAGTCGCTTAGTTGTGACTTTGAACTGTATATTGATTGTTATATCTTGCCTAAAGTATCGTCATCAGTGCCTAATACTTATGTCGACACTCACAGCATGTGTATACCTACAAATGTCGTGCTTGCCGATCCCCACTTTTAAACTCCGTCTTCTATCGATATTCTTGTCGGCGCGGAAGTGTTTTGGGGAGTCATAGGCACTGACCGTATGCCGTTGGGAAAAAATATGCCCACGTTATTCGATTCTAGGTTGGGTTGGATAGTCTCAGGCGTCCTACATCAGTCTGGACCCAGGTCTCATGTTTGCTTACTTGCAAATGACTTGAAACTTAACTTGGAACGATTCTGGGAGTTGGATTCCATAGCGCCTCGACACAAGCTGACAAACGAAGAGCAATCGTGCGAGGAGATTTTTGTGAATACCACTTATCGCAGCTCGGAAGGAAGCTTTGTTGTCCACATTCCTCTTAAGGAGTCACCCAACGCTTTAGGTGACTCGTATGTCATGGCTAGGCGTCGTTTCTTGTCGCTGGAACGTCGATTAGCTCGAGACACATATCTCAAAAATTTGTATGTTAGTTTCATGAATGAGTACATAAAATTAGGGCATATGTCCGAGTACAAGCATCAAAATTCTTCTTCTACACCTTCAAATTACTTGACCCATCATGGTGTCTTGAAGGAGTCGAGTACGACAACCAAGCTTAGAATGGTTTTTGATGCTTCTGCTCGTACAACTTCGGGTATATCCTTTAATGAGATACAAATGGTCGGTGCTCCTATACAGGATGATTTATTGTCCATTTTACTCCGATTTCGCAAACATATGATTGTTGTAAGCGCAGACATCGAAAAAATGTACAGAGTAACTAGCGTAAATTATATTTATAGATCTCTTCAAAAAATTCTATGGAGATCAGAGCCAACACAACCCTTAAAAACCTATACTTTAAACACAGTAATCTATGGCACTGCTTCTGCCCCTTGTTGCCCAAGAGTGTGATGACCCATCGATTTGTTCCACCATAGAGCATGACTTCTATGTGGACGATTACCTATCTGGTGGTTCAACTGTTGAAGAGACGTTGAGCAAATGCCGGAAGGTCATCGCCGTTCTTGAGTCTGCAAAATATAACCTCCGTAAATGGCAGTCCAACTCATCTGAATTATTACAAGCTCTTTCCAAACATCAAGTTGGTTCGAACTTTGTAAATCTTAGTAATAATGACGTATCGTCTAAGACTCTCGGACTGAACTGGGAGTGTTCCACTGATACGTTTTCCTTTTCCATTAACCTAGCGTCAGGGGATACAATCAGCCGGGCACGCCGTCATTGCGGCGGTAAGACCCGTTATGGAGGATTGGCTCGAGAGGCGTCACGGGACCCTCTCATACCGATTGACGCAGGTGATCACTGGGAAGGGATGTTTCGGAGATCACCTGTGTCTGATCCGCAAGGAGCCAACGCCTGAGTGCCACCACTGCGATGGCCAGACCGTGGACACGGCTCTCCACACGCTGGCAGAGTGCCCGGCGTGGGTTGAGCAGAGGCGAGACCTCGTGGCGGCCATCGGAGTGGGAGTTCTCTCGCTCGATAGCCTGATTGCGGCTATCGTGCGGAGCGAGAGTGCGTGGAACTCTGCCGTCTCCTTCTGCGAGCAAGTTATGCTCGCGAAGGAGACGGCGGAGCGGGACCGGGAGAGGTTTAGAACTCTCCCGGCCCGCCAGGCCCGGGCACGGGCCAGGCAGCGCAGGCGACTCAGGCGCCGGAGGTCGCAGAACGACCTCCGTCCTC